GGGGAGAAATCTGTTTCTGTGTCTCGCACAAACACACACACACACACACACACACAATTCAGAATAGCTAGAAATACGAAAGTGCCGTATTAAGATACAACAGTAAATTCTATGTCTCAAAGGTTGCTCTTTTATTGCTTAGGAGATTCTAAAAGATCTAAAAATATTTCAGATGTTTTTTCAGAAAAGTTTCTTATCATAAAAAAAGACAGTGAGACATATAGAAAGAGTATCAAGGTATTAAATTAAAGTGGACATCATAGCTTAGATCTTCTTAGAACTTTGATGAAAAATAACTGAGTTCATATTGAGACCTATTTTTTATTTTTATTTATTTATATTTTTAATTATATCCTGTCATTTGGTAACATTTTAGTATATGGACCAATACTCACTATTAACTAATTGTTTATTAGCATGCATATTACTAACATATTGGCTGTTTATTAGTACTTATAAAGCACATATTCAGCATGACATACCAAATCCTACAATACCTAAACCTAAACCTAACAACCTAACTACTATTAACTATGAATTAACTATTAATAAGCGGTAATTAGGGGTTTATTGAGGCCAAAGTTGTAGTTATTAGTTAGTTAATAGTGAGAACTGGACCTAAAAATAAAGTGAGACCTGTGATTCTTGTAAAACTCTTCAAATGTAGGTTTACTAGAGTTTTTTTTTCTTTTTTCTTTATCGGACTTAAAAGTTTCAATTTGCTTTTCAATTAAACTCATTGCTGTCAGTGAGAAACTACTGAGATATTTAAGAGATTTTTCTTTTTACAGGAAATGTATGGTGATTATGTGTTTCAAGGATACTGTTATTTGGGGCACAGAAGGTACAACAGAGGATCTACTGTATATAAAAAAGTAGTACAATTTCTCTGTCCCCATCCATCTTCTTTCCACTTTTATCTCTCGCAGTCTCATTCTTTCGAGCATCTATTGTTCTGCCTGCATTCATTTCCCTCTCTCTCTCTCCTTCAGCTGTAATTGTGATGGGTGAGCTGATAATTGTAATTATGTTCTCTAGGTAGAGAGTGTGTGTGAGGGGTGGGGGTTTAACTTCAAGGGGTGCAGACCCATCTGGGTAGCTCACGCAGGCTCCGAAAATGTCAGACTGTGGAACAATATTGGTCACACACACAGACGCACATACACAGAAAGTATAATGGGTACACTGACTAGACGGCGGAGGGCAGTGCATCGCCACACTGACTCGAGCCAATAATACAGAAGTCTAGAGGAGAGCAATGGATTCAGCATACACTCTCATCAAATGTTGTCTTCACCTCCAGCCTGCACTGCCACATTGCTTCCTCAACCTCTTCCTCATTACCCTGTGCTTTCACAAGAACAGAGTACACAACTAACAAACTAGAAAACAAATATACACTCACAAGAACATTTTTAACTTGATTTTATCTAATTCTCTAAAATTAGCATTTTATGACTAAACTATCTATCTATCTATCTATCTATCTATCTGTCTATCTGTCTGTCTGTCTCTCTCTATCTATCTAGACATACATAATGGAGGTTAGTTATTCTAGATGCGTTTACTCAGTTAAAGATCTTATTCTTTTTGTCGCTGCGCAGTGCCTAGACTTGCTGGGTAGGAGTGACGTGCGCTGCCGTGTGCGTCTGAGGCTGGTACAGGTGCAGAGATCAGCATGGAATGCGTTCATCTGCGCCGCCCGTCTGTGCGCCACTGTCTGCAGCCAGCCGCTAATGCCGGGGATAAGGGACAGGCTAACGGCATGAGCCGCCCACCCACACACACGCGCACAGAAAAGCCACTCAGCCAGATAATTACGGATGCGTCCTGGGCAGAGGCTTAAACACACACTCGGAGCCGTTGCCGCTAACAGCGTTCATTAAAACCAACACTGCAAAGGTCAGAGGTCACCCACTGCTAAAGACGGATGCTTGCCACTCCATTGCCTCTCTACTAGCGCTACTCTCTCTCTCTCTGGCCTAAAAACAAGTTGATTTCTCGCTCTGCTAAAACGAGTGAAAGACAGAAGGATGTAAAAAGACAACGAGAAACCAAGTTTACCTGCCATCAGGCGCAAGGACACCAAGTCACGTGTTTAAATATGCCTCTAATCAAATCATCTCCCCCGCCTGCCTCTCTGCTAATTCAATAAAGGCAACAACTTGTCATTTTTATTTAAAGTAATTTTCAATGTAATCAAGTGGTATTAATAAGCATGCTGCCTCTCATTACCGACTCAACCTGCCTTCTGAAGCGCGCAGAGCACAGTGTGTGCGTGTCAGCGTGACAGAGAGGCTGTTGTGTGCCTGTATGTGTGTGTTAGAACATTATGCGTGTGCTTATGACTCATTGTGTGTGTGTCTGTGTGGGCGGACATGAGTTCCATGGTATTTTTGTTCTTGTTGCTTGCAGTGACAGAACGGAGTTGCATCTCTTGGCTTCGTTTTCGCGCAAGACATTCGCGCAAAGTTAGAGAAAGGTAAAGAAGTTGCAAAGGTGAACACAAGGAGAAGATGCTCTTACAGAAGTAGAGAATGGTGTACATAGATAGATAGATAGATAGATAGATAGATAGAACACTATTACCCTGGCATGACATTTACATGTTGCAAATTACATAAATGAATTTCAAGTTCTTTTGTAAGTGCAAAAATGCATTGAATGCAAAAGCAGCTGAAATAAATCTGCAAGTCTGTCATTCAAACGACATCCGTGTTACAAATGCATCGAGCCCTTCTGAAGGAAAAGTGGGATCATGACAGAGTGATCCCGCAGAGAGCTGACCCCTAAAAAGAAATGAAGCACGTCGGAAATTTCCACTGCACGGATCATAAGAAAAATGCGATATCATTACGATGCGTCATATTCAGACGCAATCCAAGATGATGTGTTTGAACTAGGCAGAAATTATTGTGAGCTGACGGCGAGATGTTCAGAGGTGTCGATTCGGTAGAAACTTGAGGAAAAACGCAGACGCCGGAGTTTTTGTTTGCGCAGCACGTCAAAGTTGCCCCCGGAAATATCAACTTAATAGATAGCAAAGTTATTTCTGGATCCATTTTATCTGCTTTCTCAGTCTGTTTTCCCAGATTTTACTCAAATAAAGGATGACAGAAGAACGGGGATTGAACTAAAGGAGAGATAATGAGTAAATTAATCGGATGCAACACAAACACACACACACACACACACACATGACTCTGGGTTGTCTGGTGGCTTCATTAGGCTGTAAAGAATGCCACTGAGTACCCTAGAACCACATAAGAAAGAGAGAAACATAAAGAGATGCAACAGAAAGACAGGAAAACTTAAGATGGTCTTTATTAAGGCGGTCCAGCAGCTGCTCCTCTGGCTATTATAGAGCCTCCACACTAATAAAGAAGAAAAAGACAAATAGCGATCCATCACACATCCCCCATCAGCCCCTTTTCTCCCGCTTTGAACAGAAGATTATGCCCCGGACGACTCTGGGGTGGAACCGTGATTGTGAGTGTCAGTCAGAGAGAAAAAAAGGAACATACTGACTAATAGTGCTACATCGATCGGGAAATGTCTACTTAAATGCAGCAGTAGTCTGTCACCTACACAGTAAGGCTATTAAAACAGGACTGTACATGTGTGTGAGTGTTCTAGTATGAATCAATATGGGATTCGCACATTTAAATACATCCAACAGAATGTGCGTTTTCGCATGTACACGTTTGAGGACACGTATATGCATTTTGGTGCAGTCTGAGCCGCGACCTGCTTATCGGAATAAATAACTGACCAAATATAACACTTCTTCTGAGAGAGCACAGCGTGTCATCTTTATACCCTTGATCTATTTTCACAATTCAGTGTGGAATACAGCGGCGCCCCAATTTACAACAACCCAGAATCCTGAACTATATATGAAGATCCAGAGTATTTATAGTTCGCTCTTCATACCCTCATTACAAATATGTTCATGAACTCTTTTAAAGTGCTATTAGTAATTCTGACTGAACCTCTTATGTATTTGTCTAAAACATCTGGGAGCTCAACATTCAACAACTGACTAAAATATTTATTTATTTATTATGCAGATTATCAGAAAAATACTAAACTTTTGCAAAAGCAAATATAATATAATATACATCTTATTTTAGGGTCATACTGCTGTCCTCTAAAAGTGTGTTTCCGAGAACTAATGCGGAACGATTTGACATCATGACATGCTTTCTGTGGTTTCAGTTGTCCTTCTATACTTCCTCAAAAAAAACTGAACTGAGATAACACAATGGCTGTCTCAACCCCTATGGCGAGCTGCGTATTTAACATTTTAGACACTTTAAAAGCAACTGTGATACTCCAAAATGACTATAAATCTCCAAAGATAATGGTTCTAGGGTTAGGGTCAGCTGTTTATAATGCTCAGTCTTGGTAGCTCAGTTTTGACAGGCACTTGATAAATATCCAACAGTGTTTAAACTAAGGTAAAACGAAGAAGAAAACTTCAAAGCTACGCATTTGTTTGCGCAATAGATGGAGATGCGCAACACCATGTGTCATTTCAAGATCCTAAGGGGTCTTTAAAAAAGAGAAAGGGAAAAAGAAACAGCCCAGAATGTCAAGTCGATTGACTTAAAGTGCATAAATGAAGTATTCTATATAAATCTCGCAGCGATGCGCACCGCGTCTTCTCAGCATCAGCACCATCATCCCGCATCACAGATGAGTTGAGACGCGCCCGGTCCGATAAGACTCCTCATTCCCGGTGCGTTCGGGGGAGGGTTTGGTCGCTCAAGGGGTTAATAAGACACTCCATGCGTCAGACACATGACAGTATATGTGCGAACTCAAGGGGGGGGAAAAAGTCCCACACACACTTTTTCGAGCTGAAATGGCACACGCAGCCGTACGCAATTCTCACAACATTCATGTTGGAGTCGAGCGGAGGGAAAGCGCGCGTCCTCAGCGCGGGCGAGATGGAGACACTCGGCGCTCTCCGCATGCATGTTCGGCTCGGGTCTTACCTTAACACGTTCCAGCTCTTGAGAGGGTCCAGGTCTGAGATTATAGAGACCATGCTTGAGGCTCGGGCGGCTCGGGCTTTGCTCGGACAGAATGCGGCTGATTGAGTGAGTGTGTGAGCGCTGTTACTCCGACTGTCTCTCTGCACTGCTCTGAGTGTGATAAGCGCTGAGAACAGGCTCTCTTTCCTCCGCCCCTCACAATCACTCCAGCTTTGCCTCTCTCTCTCTCTCTCTCTCTCTCTCTCTCACCGCCTCATCTCTATACGCACCTCTTCTGTGTAATATCCGTCTCAACGTATGCAACCTTTTCCGTAGACACTGCCGAATGAATAGCCTACCTGGCGCTTTTATGTTCCTTGTGAATTTTTAAAAGAGATTTTTATAGAGGCGGGCCTCTATAACTCTGCGTTATGATACCAACTGCCAACGAAATTAAAATGACATACTGTTCTCCACTTTAAAGTCTGAATTCCACAGTTAAAATAGCCAAGTAGGCCTATCAATAACGATTTACGCGGTCACGCTTCATTTTAGGCGTACTTAAGTTACGATTCAAAGCATTTAATACAGTGTACTCAGTACACTGCCTTAGTACATTGTCTGTGGACGATGCAGTTAACATGGGACTGCATTATGTTCTGCAACATCTAGACAGACCAGGGACTTATGTGAGGCCTGGCAATAAAGCTCATTCTGATTCTGATTCTGATTCTGATGTACATACTGTGCTGTTCTGCAAAACTAACAAGAGAAGGTTAGGGCTAGTGTTATGACTAAAGTCACTGATGTTTTTGCACACGTTGCAGAACCATTAGTCACCCACTCCCCATTGTTCAATGTATTTGTATAAGAATAAATAAATAATAATGTTTAAATTTGTTTAAATTAAGATGCATATTTTTAAATTAAGATGTCAATTAACTTAAATGTAACTGTATTGTAACAACACAATACGACAGTAAGACATCTAATATATGGGATATAAAAAGCTATATACTATTAATTATTTAATAATGATTACAATAATGCTAAAAGTCATAATAACAAAGTGTACAAGTTACTCCACCAAGTAATTACTAGTGCTGTCAAACAATTAATCGCGATTAATCGCATCCAAAATAAAAGTTTTTATTTACATAATATATGTATGTGTACTGTGTATATTTATTATGTATTTATAAATATACACCCCCCCACACACAATATATATATTGAAAATATTTACATGTATATACATTTATATTCTTATATTTTATATTAAATATAAACATAACATATTTTTCTTAAATATATACATGCATGTGTTTGTATTTATATATACATAATAAATATACACAGTATACACACATATATTATGTAAACAAAAACTTTTATTTTGGAATGCGATTAATCACGATTAATCATGATTAATCATTTGACAGCACTAGTAATTACACATTATTTATATTATTACCCAGATAGCACACGTACATCTGCAAGATGTCTGTTAAAGATCTTGATCTGGAAAGCATCTGCCGAGTACAAAAGTCTGACAGACGTCTTTCAGATGTCAGTTTTACATACATTCTAAATCATAAACATCTTAAAGACATCTAATATACGTCTATTTGACATCTGATAGGAAACGTCCAATAGACGTATTTCAGACAAGCAAAGACTCTAAAAAACAAAACAAAAAAAAAACGTCTTGCAGATGTAAATGCAGACCTCAAATAGACGTCTCCGTGATGTACGTGTGCTACCAGTGACATTCATTTGTATTATTTAGGCTACATACCAGATGTAGACGCTTTTAAATGTGAACTAAATCGCCCCCAAAAAACTAAATGTTTAGTCAAAATAAATATTTTCTGTAACAATCAGACAATCAGAATCATTCATAATGTCCTTGATACTGTGCATTGCTGTGAAAGCCCAGGTCTCGGTCATTAAAAAGCTTATTGAACCATAGTTCATTTAGTATTTTATAACACAGATAGTACAGCCTGAAATATTTTGTTGCAAACTATACCAATGGCCAAGAACAGTTCATAGTATAACAGGTTTCTTGGAACATTTTCATCTAAAAATGGCCATCTTAAAATGGAAATGTTGTTTTGTCATAAACTGTTATGAGGAGAAGAAGAGGGGGGGGTGGGGGGGGGATAATGGTTAGGCCTGTGAGTCAAATGAGAAGACAGACAACCATTCCACGTGACATTATTGTATCTAACAAGGCTTACTTCCTGTTTGACACATCACCACATCCTGTTTTAGGGCTACCAATTTTTCTATGCTTTAACTGCAGATATTTACCACACAGAAACTATGCGAATTCAGATTAATGAAAGTAAAACAACTTGCAGTGTTCGTATTAATGAAAAACCTGGTCAGTTTTCTTGTACATTGTGCATGTGTTTAAAAGTGAGTTAAATAAAGAAATAAAACTGCATACATGAAGTTTGAATTTCCTGTGTGTCTCTTGCTCAATATCATTAGGTCAGTTTTTTTTTTTTTTACTGTAGCAGGGGCAGAAGGGCAAAAACAATAATGTAAGAATATAAGAAACAACAACAATAATAAAAGAAACAACAATCTATCTTCTATTTAAAAAAATGATTCTTTTCACATTAAAATGCAAATTTGTATTGAGATCTCTAACCTACCCAAAGTAGGCCACTATGTTTGAGAATGGTTCAGTTCTCTTGAAATTAAAAGTATGGATGCATTAAACAGATAGTTCACCCAGAAATAAAAATTCTGCTATTAATTATTCACCCTCATGTCATTACAAACCCGTAGGACCTTTGATCATATTCAAGACACAAATTAAGATATTTTTGATAAAATCCAAGAGCTTTCTGTCCCTGCATAGACAGCAACACAACTGAAACGTTCAAGGCCCAGAAAGGTAGTAAGGACATCATTAAAATAGTCCATGTGAAATCAGAGGAATGCATACGCATGCATCATAGTAGTGTCATGAATGTGCGTCAAAGACTGACACAGAAGAGAAGAAATTGTTGAATAAAGACATTATTTTTGTTTCCTTCATGCACAAAAAGTATTCTCATAGCTGCATAAAATTAAGGTTGAATTACTGATATCACATGGACTATTTTAATGATGTCCTTACTACCTTTCTGGGTCTTGAACGTTTCAGTTGCATTGCTGTCTATGCAGGGTCAGAAAGCTCTTGGATTTCATAAAAAATATTTTAATTTGAGTTCCAAAGATTAACAAATGTCTTAGGGGAACGACATGAGGTAAGCAATTAATGACAGAATTTTAATTTTGGGGTGAACTATCCCTTTAAATCAAATCAACAGAGACATAAATAGTCTCAGTATGACTGAAAAAAAACAAAACAATTTAGAACATACTTTATCCCCAAAAAGATAATTGTGTTAAAGTATTTTTTCCAGTGTAAAAAGTAGAAAGCCTGAAGAAAAAAAGTATGTTTGATAAATATGTTTAAAATTATGTTAAAAAGATGAAGATGAAGACTCCAGTCATACACACACACACACACACACACACACACACATACATATACACATATACCGGTATATATATATATATATATATATATACAAACAACAAATGAGGTGTAAACTCAGAAATGTAAAAAAAATTGCTATTTTGTTTTTTTATTATAACCAAAAAAATAATAATAATTATTTATTAAATAAGGTGACCAGCCCTCAGAGTGGCCACTATTTTTAGATAGCATGACTAGCCAAAATATAACTATACAGTTTATCCCCCATATTAATCAGACATATTCAGTTATGGAATGAATTAATCATACAGTAGGTGACAAATAGGCTATTTCTGCAATGGTCAGTCCCACCAGGATTTCATGGGACTTTTTTCCAATTAATGCAGCCCCAAAATGACTGACTATTGCATTGCGCTGATATTTGCGGCCCTGTGTAGTGAAAACCCACCAATAAGCATTATGTACTTATGTAATTAATGTTAGTGATGGAAAGACTACAATTATCGGTAAACATTTTTGCACATATTCACATTAGTGAAAATTCTATTGTCTATTATAAATAGTGTAGCAATATATGAAGCACAACTTGTTCGCTGTGTGCAAAATCTGTTTGAGGAAATCTTTCGCCTCCTCATGTGTAGTTCCTGATCATGTGGATTCAAATCGAAATGACTGGATCTTGCTGAAAAAATAGCCCAACAATGATAAATGTGATACATAATAAATCTGATGCACAATACAATCAGGAATGTGTAGAAGGAAAGGCTAAATAGACTAGCACTACTAGCAGTTACACAACATTTGTTGTTGCACAGTTGTTAGCGTCGTAGTCACGTCTTCTCAAGGCAAGTGTACTTCTACGTCATCCCCATAAACCACACGAAAAGCCACATGTCCACTACTTTAGCTCACAATGTTTGGCTAAAAGCATCTAATAAACATTATAACCACACCGACCAATCACGCTAAATAACAAGCAAAGAGGTCTGTTTAACAAACCCACAAGAAAGCAGAATCCTGGTTTCTGGAAAGCGGTGGGTTTGTGTGGGTGTGAGAGTGTTATTCTTAAACATAGCTACTTTTTCCACCCATCATCCACTCACTTGCGGCCTGTAATCTTGTTAGCGACCATATTTACACACATTCACACACACCTCTCAGGCTCCTTTTCAAGCCACGGAGATGTGTGAGACAGACGTAGACAGAAAACCAAAAAACGGGTGCTTTCTCCTCGTCTCCTCCACCACAATAAGAGACACTGTCCCGAGACATCAGCCATAATTCACAGCCCATATCATCTACACGTCTAATCTAAATAAAGTATGTATAACATCATCCTTTTCGAAGTCTATTCCTTCCTCTCTTCCTCTGTCGGCATTTATTCAGCCTAAATAAAAAGAAAAAAGGACATAAGGAAATGAGGAAAGGCGCAAAACGCCGGCACGCACACCAGCGCTAGGATGAAATAACTATGAGGGGATTATTTCATAAACGACGATATTTCCTTTCTTCTGAAATCCATTTGATGCTGTCAAATAAGCCCAAAGACATACGCCCACGTGCACATTGTCTTAAAAAGAGCGATTTGATGAGGATCTATTCTGCCTAACCAGGCAGAAATAAAGTGCTGCTTCTGTTCACAGTCAAAGCTTCATAAAGCCGCCTGTCCAGGGAGGACAGGAATAACAGAGATTGGAGAGCTT